GAATAGAGATATAAACCGAAGAGTGCAGACTGCTCCGAAAAGACAGGATATGGAAAACAGAAGAAAACCAAAACCCGACTATTTATTTCATTAATTCTTATGCCTTAGGCCTATAACTAAATAAAATTATGGGAACACTCAATAAGATCATTGCAATCATTACAGAGATTCAAAACAATCATAAGCATAATGACAATTCAACAATCAATAGAGATGCACAACTCAATCTTTGACAAAACTTGCGATACTATCGTCCTTATTATACTAGGGGTAACAATCCTAAGACTCTTCTTCAGATCACGCAAGAAGGTGATGAGGGATAGTTCTAAAAGCATAACAAACCAAGAAGTGAAGATGAGAACAAAGTCTTTAAAATAAGCACCAAGGTAGAGACGAATAGCAAAGATAGAGATATAATAGAGAAGAAAATATCAAGGTTCATAGAGCAAGGGTTTTTGCAGCAACTTATAAACCTTAAAACGACCAGTTTCTATTAGGCTTGCGTCCTACAGTCAAACCTGGCTCTGATACCAATTTGTCACACCCAATTTTAAGGATAAAATTGAATGCACTAACTCATGTGCGCCCAGGGATCAATCACATACACAAGCTGACAAATTATAAAGGAGTATCATCACAGTGTATCTTACATCACGATAATAACATAACTTAGTCTTATACATCACAGCGGAAAATGAAAGATAACTCTCTCTCGTGGAACACCATCACAGGGAAGGTCAACTGGTTGACCACAAGCCTAATAATTCTCAGGAAACTCCTCATACATGTTGTCATCTGTTACCCATCCGGGATTTTTATCCAAATAAAGAAAATAAACAAGCGTAAGTACTTCCCGTACTCAACAAGATAACATGGGGTTCATGAGGCTCAAAAAGGTTGACACTGGTTTACTGCAGTTAACACTTTTAGTAAGTCAAGATTTTATTGTCAAGTATCATCAAGTTATGCTTAAGCTCCCATGTAAACCCACTTAATCAGATATCAGCATCATTTGGATCATATCATCATAAACCATCATAAATGAACAACAATGAGTAACCAATTATTACATGAGTTTTCCGGGCCGCTCGTGACCGTGAGCACACAATTATAACATTTGTTACCCTCTACAGAGGTGGTGCACATTCACCATGAGTCGTGATCCCCATATGCCCAGGTTAATTACTCTCATATCACCGCCAAGGTGAGCGGGCAGGTACACTATGAAGCCATTTCATAGGTTTCTCTAACAAGTTAGGGCCGCTAGGTTTCCTTGGCGAGTGAGATGTAGGAACCTCCCTTTCCTATGGCACATATCCATCAGCGGCTATACACATAGGAACAGAGGCAGTCCTATATCCAACATGGCAAGCCCTTTTATGCTTATAAAGGTAACCTCTAACAAGCTAGAAAAGGTCCTATTATCGAGCTAAAGTCGAGCCATATGACTCTCACGGTTGCAATTTGTCATCCCAAGCTTTGCCGACAAGATAAGTCCTTATGGAGGGCCGAGAGCAATATGATCAAAAGTCATTTGCACTATCGCCTATGGATCAGATTGTTATAAAGCATGTTTTACCTTTAGTTTCATAGAACCATTCACCATCAAATAGATCATGTTCAGTTAGAGCACTAGCAATCTACCCATATGCAATTAACCCATAGGAGTCAAGGGAACAAGTCATCAAATGTCTAGAATGTCCTTAGGGTTATCAAAATTAGACACATGCACATGAGTAAATGATTAAAGTGAATAGGACATTAAGGTAGGCCCATGCTATACTTGCCTTGGTTCACAAACTCTTGCTGGTCCTGCTGGTCGTCGAAGAATTCTTGATCTCCAACGTTCTCCTCACCGTCTCTAACGCGCGACCAACACGTTCCAAAAGCATTCATGCAAAGCAAACATTCCTATCATTAGAACAGTACACCAACAGTATAGAAAACAAGGTAAAATGTTTGTGAAAATAATCTACGTCTCGCTATGATCACGTCAACGCGAAGTTCACGAAAAACGGAGCTAAAATGCGAAAGTTATGATTTAAACGGGTTTTTCTATAGCAATATATTTAATTAAACCTAACCATGAAATTAAAAAGTTCCAAACTTGACTAACAGTGGTTCTAACATGTAGATTATGGAATTACAAAGCTAACGCGATTTGAATGGATCAATTCGGAGCTAAAACGACAATTTTATAAGCAAAACAATTCAAATGGCATTTCTGTAAATACTGAAAACGTATTTTAGACTTAAGCAGTGAACTTTACGTTTTCAAAATGAGAATGCGTATTCGGGGAACTACGCATTGGACTGCGGGTTCAATTAGATGAAAACCGAGGGGCTCTTTAGAAAAATAACCCGCGAAGGGGTATCGGCCAATCAGAGCCGTCGGATTAGAAAGGAACAGCCAGAAACGAATTTGGGGGGAGAGAGAAGGAGGATGCCCTTACCGGAACGATGGCGCGTATGGCGGCTTGCCATGAACAATGGCGGCGAGAGCTCACCGGCAAGCTCGGTTAGGGGCTAGAGTTCACCAATCGAAGAACCGAGAGCACCGGGGTTAAGCGGGGAAGCGGGGTCTTGGCGAGCCAAAAAGAAGTGGCGAAAGGGAAGGCCGAGGCGGGCGGTCGCCATGGCCAAGGGCCAACGGCGCTTCATGGGTAACGGCGCTAAAACCACCTAACGCCAAAGAAAAAAGGCCGGGAGAAAGAGGAGAGCAAGGGAGGCTCAAATGGAAATCGGGGTCGAGTCGGCTCGGGAAGACGGCCGACGCGATACGACAGCGGTCGGTGGAGCTCCTCCGCACAGCAAGTTTCTGGGGCTTCAGCGAGCGGCGAAGCGAGAGGGAGACAACAGCAGAGGGACCCAAAGGCTCGGCACTTAAAAAAGAGGCCGCAAGGCGGGAAGGCGCCCCACGATCGGAGGCATGGGCGGCGGTTGCCCAGATGCCTGTGACGGTTCCATGACTTCTTTGAGGAAGGGATGCGCCGACAGGAGGGGCCCGACCGTTAGCTGCAGGGAGAGAGAGGGCGCGGCAATGGTTGCTTTGCGATGAAATGCAAAATTGGCCAAAGCTTTGGGAGGCAAGCTGGCTGGTCAGGCAGGCGCGCAAGCAGCTGGGCCACGGAGGGAGGAGCCGGGCAATAGGAAGGAAAGGCTGCTTGGCCGAAATGAAGAAGGGAGGGTGCATTTTTTTCCCAACAGATTTCCAAAAGCATTTTCAAATAGGTTTTGAATTCATTTGAACTTTGAATCAAGATCAATCATCACAAAATTAGATATGCATCAGCATGTATGAATCAAAAAGTTTCTAACCTTATACTACCTCCGTTTTTGTTTACTTGTCACCAAATTTTTACTGTAGCAATTTTGACCATACATTTTTTTCTACAAAAGATTTTTAGATACATCAAGTTTTCACATATATGATTCTTTATTGAACATACTTCATTAATGTTATATACATTGAAGTATCTAAGATTTTTTTAAAAGAAAAAACATATGGTCAAATTTGTTATAGTAAAAAGTTGCTGACAAGTAAACACAAACGGAGGGAAGTATTAAATTTTAATTCCACAAAATTTACTATTTTCCTATATTGTAATGCACACATATTTACATAAATAAATCAATTTAGCTATTTTAAAAGAGTGCAATTTTTAGGGTGTTACACATACATATGTCCTTATTATAATAAAATCAAAATTCAACAAGCCACACATGTCTTTATTACAATACAATGAAAATTCAGCAAACCATAAATAATACAAATTATTCTTGTAAATCATTTTGGTGGTCTTGCCACATAGCAATGACAATTCCGTGCCTAAAATTAATCATATATTGATGCTCACTAGCTTGCCCACTTGATGAATCGGCATAGTTATGATTTGGTATGTAATTTGTCTCTTGTGCGGAGGAGATGTGCGGCGTGGAGCATGCGGCGTGCGCCAAGGCGAGGAGCGCCTCCCTGTGAAGAGAGCAGGAGTGGAGAGAGGAGTCTAGAGGAGAGCGGTGATGGTTACGGTGAAGATAAGGACGGGAGGTGAGAAATATCTACGCGCGCTCCCGCGCTTGATTCCCACGCGTCCGCGCTGACCGTGGATAACCTCGTCCGCTCGTTTTCTGGTGGCCGCGGTATACAGGATCAAAGAGAATATACCCTGTTCTCGATATCCATGGTCAGCTCGTCCATAGAACCAAACAGCTCTCATCTAGGGATATCCACATCCCATCCCTGGATATCCCATGAACCAAACACGCCCCAACTGAATCTGTAACACCCTAGCCCATTAGTAGCCTGTAGTAGTTGTGAAGTTGGCCCATGTAGCCCAAGCGGCACATGTGGAGTTGTTGTTGGTGAGTTTAGTACCACCTTATTAGAAGTTTAGGAGGGTGAGGGCTAGTTTATATCCTTGTTGTTTCAAACGTAGCACCTTTGGGTTAACCCTTTTACACGAAGCGAGGACGAAAGTGTAAGAGAGGTGCTACGCGTGCAGGCCCGTTCCACGTGCAGAGCTTGGCCATATAAGCAGTTTTTGGACACGGGGTGTTACAGAATCTCACAAGCTAGACAAGATGGGTGTTACAGAATCTCACAAGCTAGACAAGATGGCACAACTAGCGAGAAATGGGTGATGACCATGGTGGAAAGGGGGACTACTGCCTTGGCAACCTTGACCATGGCAATGCAGGCCCGTTTTCCACGTGCGGAGCTTGGCCATATAAGCCATTTTTGGACACGGGGTGTTACAGAATCTCACAAGCTAGACAAGATGGCACAACTAGCGAGAAAGGGGTGATGACCATGGTGGAAAGGGGGACAACTGCCTTGGCAACCTCGACCATGGCAGCTAGAAGAGTCGGTGGATGATGTCGTGCGACAAGCAGCGACTGAGATGAGGCCCTACCTTGGGAAGCACCATTTGTATTGGTAGATCTATATCCACAAGGGGATACAACGACCCTGTCGTCCACAACGATGGCGGGTGGTTGAGATGTGGCGACCGTGGGCAAGGAAGGGTGCTCCAAAGGTGGGCACTGGGGGAGCTGAAAAGATTTCATCAAAGCAAAATCAAATTACTTGGCGCAAAACTACTAGGATGGGTGCAAGGTCGCGACGGGTGATATAGGGGAGACACGCCTAGGGTTTCCCCACTGGCAATTTGTGCCTCTGCTCCCTCTCCGTCTCTCCGCACCACTCCTCTCATCTTGTGTTTTTCACCCGCCAGTCGCCCTCACGGCTTCCTCCTCTTTTCTTTGCTACGATCTCACTGTGTAGCTTTCGAAAACTAAGCATTTGGTAAATAATGATGGTGGTGTATCATTTTTCAGGTGCCCAAGCCAATGAAAGGACCGATACACATATATTACCAGCTTGAAAATTTCTACCAGAATCATCGCCGGTATGGTGAACCCTAGAACTTATTGCTTTACAGTATATAAACTCTGTCATGTCAAATGATTTTCCGTGTCAGGCGCACAAAGAGGCTATTCATTGTCGGCTTGAATGTTGTATATCATCATGTAACGTTAACCCCAGGTACGTGAAGAGTCGTAACGACAAGCAGTTGCTGTACAAGGATGCTGCGAGCACGATAACAAACTGTGAGCCTGAAGCCACCAGTGAAGACGGCGGCGCGCCCATCGTGCCCTGCGGCCTCATCGCCTGGAGCTTGTTCAACGACACCTACTCGTTCTCTCTCAACAAGAAGGCCGTCGAGGTGAACAAGAAGAACATTGCCTGGGACAGCGACAAGAACAAAAAGTTTGGCAGCGATGTTTTCCCCAGCAATTTCCAGAAAGGCGGACTCATCGGCGGTGCTAAACTGAACGAGAAAATACCAGTAAGCTAGTAGTGCATGCATCGATCAACTAACTTCTGCTCAATATGCATCAGAGAGAGCTAGTGAGGAACCAGATTGCTTTTGATCTGTTTCAGCTGAGTGAGCAGGAGGACCTCATTGTCTGGATGCGAACCGCGGCCCTCCCGACATTCAGGAAGCTGTACGGCAGGATCGAGTCGGACATAATGGCGAGCGACGAGATCACGGTGGTGATCCAGAACAACTACAACACTTACAGCTTCGGGGGAACGAAGGCGCTGGTGCTGTCCACCACGTCGTGGATCGGCGGCAGGAACAACTTCATCGGCGTCGCGTACGTCGCCATCGGCGGCATCTGCCTCTTCCTCGCCATGGGCTTCGTCATCCTCTACGTGATTAAGCCGAGGTAATTAAAGTCGTGTCGATCTCCATCAGGTGATGTTGCACACATTTGTTTCAACCAAACTATGTTTTGCGCATTTTTCAGGGCCCTTGGAGACCCTAACTACTTGTCATGGAACAAAGAAAACCCAGACCATCCCAACTGATTGAAAGGCGCTGCTAGGTCCAGTGTGTGCAGATCAGCGCAGGCACAGGCATGTCGATCAGTGGCAAGTTGTTTATTCGTGTTCATTAATTTATTTTGTTATTATGCTCTCGATACATGTAGATAGGCGTAACATGGTGAAAAAGTTTATTTGGAGATGTTTCTTAATTAGTAACCATGCATGTATGTAGTATATAAACTTACCGGGAGCTGTTATTGTCCATAAGCTAAACGGAATCAGCGTGGTGGAATCAAAACGTTGTATTCTGTCAGATCTTTGCCGCGTTGCCTCTCGAGGTGTCCTGGGCAAAAACTCGCGAGAACCGCCGGATTTGTAGGCGATGCCGCCGCCCGCCGGCCCGCCGGTGCTCCGGCTCAATTTGCCTGGCCGGCTTGGCCTCTCTCACTCTCAGGCACGACGAGGACGTAGAGCTACGTAGAAGAAATCGGACAGCGACAGGCCGGTGCCGGTGAAGCAAGACTGACTTTTTTCATCTCAATCTCAGTAAAAAAAAGAGTGACTTTTTGAAATAAAAGAAAGTGAAGCAAGACTGACTGACTGTGACTGTCACTGAGCGATAGGACCGGGAGAGAATGGAGAGCTCCCCACGCAATTGCCGCGCTTGTCTCTGCCGTGATCGATCCATCCATGATCCATCTATGTAGAAATCGAACGTCCTGGAGGCCAAAATCGCCAGATCAGCCGTCGGCATGTCGCTCTCCCGGCTCACTACTGGCTCGAAATCATCCACCAAACCAAAGACAATTGTGCATTTTTAGGCTTATAGACTCCGAAATAATTTCCCGAGAGAGCAAGAGCATGTGCGTATCACCAAGCAACGCCGTACTTCTTTGTCTTCAACGCAACCAAGATTCCCAATATTTTTAATAATCTTTGATCAACAATTAGTATAAAAGTTATAAATCCTACTGTTTGGAGCTCTCTTTTTTTTTTGCGAAACCAAGTGCACTGGGTTTGGGAGCTAAAGAACCGTGGAACAGGCAAAGACACAAACAATTAGGTGTTGACAATTCATGTGGTGTTGCTCAAAAGTTTAACATGGAGTGGTAGAAAACCACACGGTCTTTTTTCTTTTTCAAAAGACAGACATTGACGTCTACCTACATACATGCGTAGCCACCTCTACTGACGCACTCACGTGTTTTATCTCCATGAACATCTCCAGAAAATTAGGTTGGTAGGTTTTGAGAGATTAACAAAGTCACAGCAACTAGGTATACATGTATGTGATCGATCGATCTATGTAGAAATTGAACGTCCTAGGGCCCAAATCACCCAATTAGTCGTACGACTACGAGTCTCCGAGAGAGCATGCGTATCACGAAGGCAAAATCGTGCTCCATCTGTCCCAAAATAAGTGTCCCTGTAGGATACCTACTGGTCAAATTTTCTGAAGTTTAACTAAATTTATATAAAATATTAGCAATGTTTATATCTCCAAATAAGTTTATTATGAAGATATATATCCAAAGATTTATTTAATAATACTAATTATGCCCCATAAATATTTGACTTCTCGGAAAGTGTGAATGACACTTAGTTTGGAACGAAGGGAGTATTTCTTTCTCTTCACGCAACCAAGATTCACAACATTTAATAAGCTTTGATGAACAATGTGTTTGGAGTTTTTTTTCGAAACCAAATGTAGTGTATGTGGTGTTGCTCAAAAGTTTAGCATGGAGTGGTAGAAAACCACACGGTCTTTTTTCCTTTTTCAAAACACAGACATTGACGTCTACCTACACATATGCATATATACCTACCTCTACTGACGCACTCACATATTTTATCTCCATGAACACATCCAGAAGATTAGGTTGTCATGTTTTGAGATTAACAAAGTCATTGCAGGTGCTCCCTATCAACAAGCACATCACCTCATTTTCAGTAACACATGGGACTAAGGCTCACACATAGGGATATCTTGATATTGAGGGTTACATAACTTATATTGTTAGTTTAGCTAATTTATCCTCTAAAGAGTAATATAATTCTATTAATCAAAGGTGTATTTGTCAACTACATGAGAGGAGACATATGAATTAGTGGTGAGAGTTAAAGGAGGGAATTAAAATGGGAAGTTGATTTTTAGTTCAAATTTTCTTGTTTGGTTCGTGGAGAGAAATAGGAAAGAGAGTTGAAACAAGACTTCATGCTCTATTTGGTGTGGTGCGTTTTGAGTGAAAAGTAATAGAACAAGTCCATATATTCATCTTTCTTTCATTAGTAGTAGATGCCCGTGCGTTGCTACGGAAGCCTCAAAATTTTTGCCCATACGTTGCTACGTGAGTCTTGAAATTTTCAATGCTATAGAGGAGCTCAAATTTTCGTCCGTGCGTTGCTACAACTCTCAAAATTTTCAATGCTGTAGGAGCATGAATTTTTTCAATGCTGTAGGAGCATGAAAAAATTGAGGTCAACTGATAGTACAGTCCATCTGATCTTAGCAACATGTTTTTGAGCTATAAAGAATCATGGGCACCAATTTAATAGCGTCAAAACAACCATGCACATATTTGCTGTTTATTAGGTTTTCTTGGGTGCTAATTCATTTTCGTAACAATCACTAACCCAGTGTGCCGCGTGCCACAAACATAGCATCAAACTGAAATGTACAATCCACAACCGATATCATTTAATCAAGCAACAAAACACTATATAAAACCCATAAAAGCATCCATGCCACGGTTCCCCTTTTTTGCACAAATCAAATTCAATCCATAAATGAACCGTCCATTTTATAGCTCCAGGAAAATGTGTAGCATCCTAGGCCTTACTAAGTAGTAAGTACCAAATTGAATTTCTAGTAGACTGATATCGTGCATATAAGAGAATAATACAGGTGGTTGTTCTCGGATAGAGCGTACACAAAATTTGCTAGTCAAAGTACCTGTCCACTCATAAGATTTTCTACCCTATATACAGAAAAAACTAAAAATGGTCTGCAAAAGTTTGGAAAATTAAAGTCAAGAACACAGAAATGCTGAAACAATAATCAAGATCACCTATACCTTTTTATTGCAGATAGTTAAATACTTAAATACAGTACTCTAATTGTATTCCCTGCCAACATGGTAACCTGCAAGAAGAGAATAAATAGATCAATGCAGAGAAAATATAGTACATAGCTTTTCTCAAGAACATCACATACTTCATTAAGAATAAATTACAACTGAACTTGAAAAGCGTTCAGACGTTCCACATTGTTGGATATCACCAAACAACTGTCAGATTCTTCAAGTCCCGATGGGTGCTCAATGCTCCAAATATAGTTATAAGTAATATAGTGGAAATGGTGCCATTTGATTTTCTATTACTGGTCCTATCAATATTCAATGAAGCCTTGATTTTGTTGTTTTCCCCCTTTCTGAAATAACTCGTACATATATGACATACAAGAAAATAGTTATGGGTCTTAGTAGCAAGAAACAAATGACTGACATCACGAATTGAACTGAATTTTATTCAATCTGCACCCATTGCTGAACAGAGAATTTGGAGCACAACTTCAGTCCATCTATCGAACTCGTCCCTGGTCCTCTTGGGCAGCGCATTGCTGTTCCACCCACTGGACGTGGCCGTGGAGGCGCACGCACCGCCTGTGGCGGCTCGTACAGCGCCATCGGCAGCGCCACGACGCCAATCTCGTTGATGTCATTGTCCAAGTGTAGCGCTGTGGCCATGAGATTGCTTCGTAGAAGCTGGAGTCGACCACCCCGGTTGTCGCTGGACCTGTCTTCGAGGGCGGGAGGGCCACGGCGGACGCGCCCACGTCCCCGCCCACACGGCCGTCGGTGCGTGCGCTACACACATTGCTGGCCAAGACCACATAGCAGTTAATTTATTTTTGCATCGAAAGGAACTGTAGGATTGAGCTAAAATTCCAAAACTTGTTGATATCATTAACCTACACTATAGTTCATCTCTTATATAAATGTTGCCATAAAGAAACCCAAAAATCAGAAGGGTTCATAAGTGTATATGACTTTGGAAGTAACAGTAAATTGGAAGAACATCCATTTTCAGGGGAGAATACTTCATGGAAAATTCAAAAACAAAGTTTTTAATGGTTTATATTAAACAGAAACACATGAACATAACATTTATGTTCAGATAGAGCGTTCAATTGAAAACTAAAGGGCAAAAAAAGTTGTTCAAATATATTCCACTGGAAACTGTAATGGTAAAAACATAGTTGTTCAGAAAATATATTCATTTAAAATTGAACACAAAGCACATAATTTCAGCAACTAAATTCAGATAGAGCATTCCATTGAAAACTGAAAAGTAAAACAATTGTTGTTCAAATATATTCCAGTGAAAACAGAAAAGGTAAAAACATAGCCGTTCAAAAAAATATATTCCATTGAAAATTGAAAACATAGCACAAAATTTCAGCAAAGCAGAGCATTCCTAGCCCCACCTCATGCCAGGAGGCCGTTATCAGCCCTTTCAATCGTCAAAGAGTGTAGAATAGGGACTACGCCTGTCACCATGGACACCAAGCTCCTGGGAGCACTGCGACTACTACTGGGAGCAGGCTATTTATCATTGGTGCTGAAAGAGGATAAGCAATCTCATTAACTGCACTAAACAGCATCAAGTAGCAAACTGAAAAGGTTAGTGGTAACCTGAGAGCAGAACACCTATATAGTGAAACATTGAAATAGTTTGTGGTAATGGTAACCTCAAGATACAAATAGCTAGTTTTCTCTCTTTTTTTGGCAAGAAAAGATGCAAAAGTAGTAACCTCAGTTCATAGCAATTAGCAATTATATAGTTTAGTCTTTTTTGGATCAATTGTTTTTTCTTTTACCAATGACACCTAGTTTTGAGTTCAGCTGACAAATAAATCTACAGGTAATTGTAATGGTTAGAACCAAAGAGTTAAACATATTGGTATGTTTTATGAGAGGGGTATCTAAAAGGAACACTGGGGTCAGTCGACATAATATTCAAGAAGACTGTCAGAGCCTTAA